AAGAGAATGTTTGGTCTGAAGGGCTCGAAATGTATTCTACTGGTTAAAAAATTTGTTCTTTTTTTTCTTACTTTTACCGTTTTATATTATAATGAGTGCCAGTTCTTGACTAAAAGTTTTCAAGTCGCACCAGCAACAAAGATTTTGCATTCTTCCAAATGCAGTGGAATTTTGTCATCTCTTTATTGATGTCTCTGATTTTGTTTGTTCAGTTTTCTGCTCTGCTTGACAGCCAAACGACTAGATGAAACAGGACTGGAATCATTCGACTAAATTTAGGTGTTTGCTTGAGACTTGCTAAATATAAGATGTATTTTTAGTAAAACATCGGTGACTGCGAAGCAGTAAGGTGTTACCTAAATAACCTAGAAAGTTTCAAAAAATTTATTATTGCTTTACCTGTTCAAGAGATTTTGGTTGGACTATAGGTTTTGTTTCAGTACAGATTAGTACGTATGTATATAGACAAGTATCTTTTTTTATCCTGATTATCAAAGCAATTATAGAATGAACACAAATTCTTTTTTAGCAGCAAATACTTAAAAAATAAAGTGGAAAGAAACCTTTAAGAGTTCATAAAAAATCAGAAAGCAGAATAAATTCAATGGTAAGCTGAGTACAACAATAGAGTAATAAACAATAAATATTGTAAATATAAAGCAAATACAAAAATGTTAGTAATAATTAAATAAGAGAAACTCAACAAAACAAATAGTTTCTGTGTGATCAAATAAAACAAAATATTAATGGATTTGTGATTGCAAGTTCAGAACTGGCATCTGCCAATTTCCCGTAAACAGTAAACGAGTTATTTCGGTAAGCAACGCCTTTAGTACTTTGGCAGCTTGCAGTTCCTAGACCTAAACCAATAACTAGCGGCAGTGTGCGACCAACTAACCAGAATAGGCCGAACAGTGATGATAGTAAAAATGATGATGATTTGGTTTTTTCAGACGTAATCTGGACTTCTATTTGAAAAGGTAAAATGAAAAGCCTTATAGGACTACCAGTGCTTAATACAAACACTTTTCAGTATTTTTCACAATTAATAGTCGTACTGTTTTTAGAACGTAACGTTACTTTCATACGCTAATTATTATAGTAGGCAAATAGCTAAAAACTAACAAAAAATTGATAGCAGTATTTTTTGTACTGATAGATTCCAATTCTGTAAAAAAACTTGTTGAATGCCTCGCTAGAGAACAGCCATAATTTTTGTTTGCTGCAGAAGCACTACAAAATAACCAAATTAAAAAACAAAGTTTAAGCGTGCCATTAAAACTAATAAGGTTATGAAACAAAAACTGATAGCTTATTTTTTCGCAAAGTTTCATATTTTCTGACAACTGATCAAGTATAAAGAAATTTAAAGCTAGCTAATTATTAGAAGAAAGTATAGTAAAATTCTTTTTCTTTTAATGCACAAATGTACCACGTCTGCTTAAAGTCAGTGTACGAAAACAATGCAGATAGTTAAGTTTTTGTTATTATTGGAGCTGAAAAAGTAGATTGAGTGCAAATTTTAACTGAAGGTTGTGAAGTGTTGATAAGTGTTATGAATGTCGTTCTCGATAACAAAAACTAATTTTAATAGCATTTATTCTCTGAAATTTTTCTTTCTTTCTTTCTTTTTTTAATAAAAAATGAGAACTGGCTTAATGACATGAAATCCGACGACACACCACAAAGCCATCTGATGACAGTGGTAAATATACTCAGCAAGAGTGTCAAAACGTTTTTTCGCCAACAATTCCCTCATAGAGTGGTCAACGGTGACACGTCAACTGACCACCGACAATGAATTAGAAAGCCCGAAAAGTATCTTCTGACCAGTACATAAAGGCAGATCAAATCCCTTCAGAACATCATTTCGCTCGTCATCTGGCAGTTGCTGGTAATAATTTTATGGTTCTGTTATACTTCTATCTGTTAATTTCAGTATTCATTCTTTACATTAACTTATAATTCCCACTAATTTTCTTGCTGTCTAAGCGTGTGATATAACTTTCACTGTTGGTTAAATTAGGTAGAAGAGTATGCTACGGTGATAGTAGCTTACAATAAATGTTTGAAAATTTCTGCCTTCATACATTAGTAACCAGTAAATAATAAAAAAATAATCCAATTTATTTAAAATTAAAACGATATGATAAAAAATGTAAGCTTATCAAAGCACTGTTTTCGAAATACCAACCTCGATTCCAAAACAATTCTAAAAAATCCTCTATTGTGTTAATCTAGGTAGCTCCAGGATAACAGCTAAAAAAAATAGAGTGTAATATTCTCTATTGCAGATGACTTTCAAACAAATTCTTCTCCTGTTGGCTACAGCGACTGCAGCAACGAGGGTTTTAAGCGAAGAGGTCAAAGTCTTGTCCAATTTCTTATTATCACAAAAAATAAATGGAGATGATATACTGAATATGTACAGAAAAAGACTCTTAAAACTACTAGTATTAATCTTTTTCATTTGACAAAGAATACAAAGTTAGAGATTTTGTGATATATAATTTTCTACTATTACAACTCAGTAAAACAAAATGTTCTCGATATAGATAAACTGGAAATCACAATATAAAATCTCTATAAAAAATATTTAGAGTGAAAAAGTAACCCTAAAGATTGCAAGAAAATTGTCAAGTTAACCTACTGTTAAACGATTTATTGCAGGACCAAAAAAATGAAGAAAACAATACAAGGTCAAGGCGTCAACTTTCATATGTCGGAGGTATAGCCGGTTATGTGCCTGCATATGCACAACCTTTGTGCCGTCCGGCTTGCATGCCAGCCTGCTTGCCAACTTGTACTTATGCACGCCCTTATACAGCAGCATACCAGGCACTTCAGCCATTGTATGCTACGTATGCTGCGTACTCAGCTTATCCAACATTTTTGGCATCTCACTCGATACTGCCCGTTTTACAGCGACCAGAGGCTGTTGTTCCAGTTCTCCCATCACTTCCACTGCCCGTTTTACAGGCTCCGTCGTCTTGTGCCAGAACCTGCATGCCAGCATGTCTGCCAACCTGTGTTGCTCCAGTACCTCTCGCTGCGGCGCCTCCACCAGCAGCTTCAGCACCTCCACCACAACCAGTATGTGCAGCAGAGTGTATGCCTACCTGCTTACCACAGTGCATCCAAGCCCAACCTATCATTAAAGCTCAGCCTCCAGCTCAAGTTCCAATACCTTCATACTACTATAATTCTTGTGTTGCTAGATGTATGCCAGCATG